AAGTATGAGGCCAAATGGGAACACTTGATTATAAACACAAAGAAAACCAACAGCTTAAATATTCCCTCTGTGCCAACAGCAGCGCCTCAGTTTTGAGACACTTTACTGCAGGAAGATGAGACAGTACAAGTAAACACACTTAATGAAAGAGAGCAGAAAAGGCACTGCAGATGTCAACTACTTTCTCCATATGAAGTGATTTTGAGATGAAAAAACTTACTCAAAAGTAAATATACATTTAGCTAAACATTTGGCTTTCTAAAGTAAATGAAAATGTTGGGTAAAAGTTTAAGGAGCACAATGCATAAGTGACTGTGAAGCACTGAAACTAGAATCTATGAGATCAGAGTGTGAAAGGAAAATTGACTGTGACAGATTTGTTGTCGTATTACAAATAACAAATGTATTTTTAGTTTTTAAATGGAGCATGTTGGTTCCAAATGGGGTAATATATTACCTGTGGAACTTGTGGGCTTCTTGAACTACTGTTAATTTATTTAGCATAGAAAATAAAAGCATTGGCGAATAATTACATAAGATTCCTCTTTCATCTGCACTAAAAAAAAAACAACAAAAAAACCCACAAGAGATTTAAAAGTTTCTCATCCTAAAAGTTACTTCATATTTTCAGAAAGAATAAAAAAAATAACAGACCATGCTATTATACATTTACTGGTAACAATAACCAATATATTGATCATAAATAACAAAGGCTCACTTCAGTGATCTAAGCACATGATCAAAACAAAAAGCATAAAGGACAGCAAATGTTGTAATTTGATTAGCCTTAGGGTTTTGCAAAGCAAAAATCAGACTCAATTTGACATTTAAAAGAATGCTTAAAGCAGTTTGGTTTTATAACTGCTGCTTCTGAAGTACTTTTTCACTGAGATGTCTATGCAGCTTCACATATTTTCTGAACTATTAATGACAAGCAAATCAGTCTATGAACAAATTTTATAAGGTAAATATTGACATCCCAACAACAATTCTAGTCATACTGAGTTTTAGTCTTAGCTCTTTACTGAAAAGGAAACATCTCTCAACCAGCACAAACACTGAATTACTTTAACCAAAGGCCACCTACTAATCATATACAGTTTCCTGTGAATATGGAAGAAGGGAAGAAAGAAAGTCCAAAGAATATTTTACTTTCTTCCTTTTTCAGATAGCTGAAGAAGTCTGGAAGCTCAACAGGAAACATATAGGACTGATTACTATGTAATCTGTTAGTCAGCATCAACACATTGTAACAGAAAACATTCAGATCCAAATGCTCTCAGCTACAAGGTGCTCTATTAACAGATAAGGGTAATGTAAATTTTTCATATTTGCATTATTTACTGGATTTCAAAAATAAAGGGGATTTTGTTTCATTGAGAATCACACTGTCCTCAGTTTCCAAGAATTGCTTTTGATCTGACTGGCTAGTTTGAACCAAAGCTTGGAGAAAAAAAAAAAAGTATGTTTTAGTTACAACTCTGTGCAGGAAAGGGAAAAAGGGACACTGCTACATAGTGCCCCATGGAGGCAAAAGCTTCAGAGACTGTTCAGTCATGAGTATGGCTGCAGGTCACCTGTCAATCAGCCATAAGTAATCTAAACCTCGTGCTGCTTCTTGCTCTGGCATCACCTCAAATGCCTAGAATGAACCTGGGCTTACTGTTAAGTTACAAGGAAGAAAAGATCAAAAAAGGCAATCAGGCATCATACCTCACTTTTTGATAAGTGACTTAAGCTTTATCAATATCCAAAAATTAACAAAAAAACCCCCTTTGCTTTTCTTTGTACTTTACAAACAACAACAGAAAGAAACAAAAAAACTACAACAACAAAAAATTAAGTCAAGCAAAAAATGACAATCACAAACCACTTTCACTAGCTTCATTCAGTGGCTAAGATGGTACCACAATTCAATTAATATGTTTATTATTTCTTTCTCATCTCAAGAGATGGATTTTCATTTACTACAACTGCTTTAAATTTAACACTAGGATGGCAAATACTACTTTCCAAAGAGCATCTATATATTGTCCTTGACTCAGTACAAGTTCCTCGTTATTAGTAATGACCCTATTCTCACAACATACTCTCACTGAACAGTTCTGCCCCATCTTACAACCTGAAAATAGAGGTGCAGAGGTTGATGAGCAACCACCATCAGTTTTGGTATTATCGAGGTCAACTTTTTTTCCAAATACTTCATAACATAAAGAGCTACCTCGGTTTGAAACAGCTCCCCTTGAGTTTCATAAAAACTACAGCCACTAGCCACTTTTGCATAACTCAATAACCTGACAGCATAAACACATAATTATAATAGTTAGAGAGTTATAATGCCAACAAACTGCTTTAAAATCCCTTTAACTCTGGCATAACATGGTTGCACAGGGTTTCAACAAACTTAACCCTATTTGAACCCATTTCCCTTTTAGGAAATAGGGGACGAATGCCCACTTAAACATACTCATGATAAACAGCTATTTATGTTTAGTAATGCATTCCAATGATTAATTAGTCCGGTAAGAACACACCCCTTATTTGAAGTCTAACTTGCTTAATTGAGCTTCCAACCACAGAACTCCAGTACACCAGTGTCAGCCAGAGAGCTTTTATCAAATACCTCTTCACCAAGTAGGTACATACTGACTAATGAGGAAATAATTAACATTTCCTCTAGGTAAGCTAAACAAAGTAAGCACCTTGTGTCTTCTTTACTAAGACAGCTCTTTTTCCCCATTCATTTTCAAGGCTTTTTCACTACCCTCTCTGGACTGTCAACAGCAGATGTACTGCTCTAATAAGAGTTCTAGCTGATACCTCCTAATTTACAATTCCCTCGTTCAACTACTCAAAAGTTTTTCACCTAAAACTAAAAGGTGTTTAGCTACAGCCAAAAAGATTGACTTCAGGTTCAACTATCAGTCTCAGATTTGAGTCTCCCCAGTTGTTGCCCAATTCAGTTGCATAGTTTGTGCCATGAAGCATTACATTCACTTGTCCAATTTTTTAGTGATCTAAATCACTTTGCAACCTTACTAGTGTCCTTAGTCCCAAATTTATATTTATTTTCTAGGTAAGCAAAAATATCTGAAATAATGCCAATACAGTTATTTACAGTGAGAACCTCAGATACTCTGTAAGGGAAGTTAATGCAACACATGCAACAGCAAACTGATCTTGCAGTATGCACCAACACTTGCAGATGCACAACACTCCAACACTGGATTCTGCATGTTAGCCATGCAGCCTTGCCTAGGAATCCATGTTTCCAAGAACCCAAATCTCTCACCCAAGCCCTGCAGGAATTCTTAATTAATAGGAGTTAATAGAGTTCATTTTATGACATAAATTTTAACAAGTCTTTAAAATAATCTAGAACCAGCCAACAATCAATGCTAGCTAAAGATGATAAATGAAAAGAGTGGGTTTGCATTTAATAAACTGAAAAATCTAATCAATAGCTGCTTTTAAAAAATCATATAAGCTCTCAGTTTGTGTATTCACATGGATCTTTAAAGACATCTCATGGACCAATTCAAAAAGTCAAAGGCTGTAATCAAGGCACAAGTTCCTCCTAAAAATCCCAGAATTCCTTACTAAATTGTTCAGTGAGAACCAATCTCAACATCAGGTACTGAAAATGTCACAAAGCTTTAACATAATGAAACCTCTAAATGTTAGAGCTTCATATTCTTCTTACATAGGAAGAATTGGGATCACAGTCTTAGAATTGGATAGTATGATGTAGCCTAAGACTTTTGTGCATATCAATACTGCTCTCTGACTAAGCAGGATAGCAGCCTGAAACATCAGGTGCTCAAATCCAGCTCAGCTTCACCATTTCAGTGAAGGTGGAGGGTAGGGAAGGAGAAGAAAATGGAGAAATAGAAAAAATAGTATCTTCTCAAAACTTCACCCCTTTCTCAGAGGACTGTATAATATTTTCCAAAATATCAGTGTCCATGCTTACACACAATTCTTACCTGGCTTTATGAACCATCACTATAAACTTACTGGGTGCACTCACTGGGATGCTATCTTTTATACATGAACTTGAAAGGCACCTAAGCAAGGTTTAATCTTCTCCATCAGAAGTCTTTAGAAGTCACACAGCAGAAGGAAATCCATTCCTCTTAAGTTACATCAGCCAGTTCCACACTTGTTATTTCTGATGTGATAGTTTCTGTGACCTCAGGAGCATCAGAGTTAAAAAGGCCCCACCAGTCCTACTCACATTCTTACCACAGCTTCTCTTATGCTGGAGTGATGAGTAGGTTACCTATACCAGGAAATACTTTAAAGAGTTGAGTTTCTGTGATATATTTTGAAGTGACCCTTCATGGATCACATAATAAACACACACACAAACACATATACACAGTTTACATCTTCTAAAGCACTTTTCAATCAGGTCTATCCAGTCCTTGCACTCAGTGTCCATGTCTTCCTTTGTGTCTCATGAGCAAGTCTACAGACAAGGATTTGCTGAGCTGTTAGCTTCCCTTCTGCAGGAATTAGCATACATTATCAGCTACAAAAGGAATTTACACTGTTCCAGAGCATAAGCCTTTGAGATTCTATTAAGTAAAAGAAACAGAGGCAGAAAAAATCTTCACCTACCCAGCATATGCATTAAGTAGAGTGACAATGCAGTACAAAGGAATCATCAGGATAAGCAATGTTCAATGGCAAGAAAATTTAGGATTTAAGGAAAAAAAAACCAAAAAGCACTGAGAGACAGTTGGAGACTCTAGTAATTTCTTATTTAACATCCCAAAGCAACAAAATTCTAAGGAATTTAAAAAAAACAAACAAAAACACAGAAGAAACACACCAAGCAGGAACCATTACTGCTCTTTCCCAGCTATATTCCAGCTGGTGCCTGCTTAAAGACTCCTGCTAGAATCATTGTCTGGTTTCAGTCTTCCTGTCATTTTCCTTCTTCTCTATTATTTGATACTGTAAGGCAAAGAATTAGAAAAGGAGGAAGAACTTACTGGTATTGAGAACTCCTCTGCCAAATACTTCAACACTGATGCTCCTCTAGTCAAAAAGTTACTTCTCTCTGTCAGATTGCCCTGGAGTTTTGTATCAAACTCCTTTCTGACAACTGAAGCAACAGAGTCAATTATTATAAGTTTAACTTTCTTCAAAATAATTTCTTCTTCCAAAGACATAATCCTAAAAAAAAAAAAAAGTTACTAATAGCATTTTTTACACGGTAGAACCATCTTATAACTTAAAATAAAGATTCCTTTAATAACCTTAAGCAATCCCACTTTTACTGTCTTCATACACCACCTCCATTAACATCTGCATGCATTGAAGAGATTTGGAAAGGAATCTGAGGCTCAGTGGGACCCGGGAAGAGTTTTGGAAGACGTCTAGCTAATATCAATATACTGTACAAGCCCTGAATGGCAGACAGCAAGTAAAGCAGGCATTGAAACTGTGCCTCACTGTGGCCTCCCAGTACTTCAAGGGGATTTATAACCAAGAGGGAGAGTGACTTTTTACATGGGCACATTGTGACAGGACATGGGGAAATGGCTTTAAACTAAAAGAAGAGCAATTTAGATTAAAAGTCAGGAAGAAATATTTACTCAGTGGGTAGTGATGCACTGGCACAGGTGCCCAGAGAAGCTGTGGATGCCCCATTCCTAAAATATTCAATGCCAAGTTGGATGGGACCCTGAACAACCTGACCAAGTGGGTGCCATCCCTGCCCACAACTGGAAGTTTGTAATTAGATGATCTTTAAGCTCTCTTCCAACTCAAGCCTTTCCATGTATCTTTAATACATTACTAGCTGTTCTCTGATAAAGCTGTTATTAGAACAAAAAACTATTCTGATAACTCTCCCAACTAACATCAAACATATAACATGATGTTAAAATATAACTTAATTTTCATTGCAACATATGTTCACTAATATAAGGTAACATCATGACAATACTGCTCTCAGGCTGGTGACTGCTAAACAACTCCTCCTTTCCACTGCTGGAAGAATCCCCATCTTCCTGAAAGTAAACTGCTTTGGAGGAAGAAGCTTCATTTCATGGAAAATATAACTCTTATAACTATGGTCGCTCCACAAAACAAGAGAAGACCTGTCCCATGAACATTCCCCTTTAAAGGCTTACAAGGATCAGATCACATAGAAATTGTCTATCAGAAATTAAAAAGCATCAAGTGGATTAGTCACATGCTATGAAATGAAAAGAGCAATGTCAACCTTTCTGTAGCAGTGTTACTTTGCTGGAGACCACGCTGGTATCCACATGAAAAGGCTTCAAATAAATTAATCACTCTTCATAAAACTTGGACATAAAAATATCATTAGACAATCCAGTCAAAATTGTCTTTTCTTAAACTCTGGAAACAAATACCTCTTAAGTACACTGCTACAGGTCAGTTCTCGGTACAGGTGGATGCTACGGGTCATGCAGAGCAGCTTTTCATCTGAGTCAAAATAAGTAGGCAAACTGTTTGCTGCTATCTCAATTAACCTATTAAAAAAAAAAACAAACAAAAAACAAGGCATAATACTGCAAAAAGAATAAAACAAGATAAGACATCAAGTATTCAGAAAGCAAACACAGCAAAGCTCTGAACAATAAGCAGATATCAACTAAGACTAGAAATCTTTTTAAAGGAAAAGCACACTTGATCAGTCAGAGTGAAACAGTGGAAGTCAGAACAGTTACGTTCTCTTTCCAGTGATGCTGAGTCAGTGGTACACTAGGGAAAGACCTCATGTGTCCATATGCAAAGAAAGGCCATATCTCCTCTAGAAGAAAAGTTTACTTACTAAGTACTTCAAGTTTTATACAAGAGATTTCACTCAATGACCAAGCATTTTCCTATTCTAGTTATTTTATCTAAACACTAATTTCATTTAAATAAAACTACTCTCCAACTCTAACCATCTTCCTTTTCACCTTTACCTTGCAGTGAAATCAGAGTGGGCTTTGTCACCACACAAATTTAATAAGTCGGTAAGAAACAAGATCCATTAGATAGAATTTTTTCCATAATAAAGATTTTAATTTTTAGTAACAAAAAATACTTGTTTCTATTTCAAGCAGACATATCCTACCACCTATAGCTTGAGAAGAGTGGCATCTAGTGGATTGTACTTGTGGGCACAACTTACTTGTTATATCTTTAAATTTAGGCTCCTTTCATTAAAATACAAAGTCAAAGCGATTTTTGGAAAAGATTTTACTAAAAACAAATTTAAAATCAGTTTAGAAAGAACTCCAGAGATTTTGAGGCAGCATCCTGTTCAAAGTAGCACCAGCTATGAAGTTGGAACAAGTTACTTGAGTCTTCATCTACTTCAAAAGCCTTCAAGGATGGAGGCAGCACCACCTCTCTGGGCAAAGCTTTTTCACACAGTTAGGAACTGTAAAGCTTCTCCATATCAGCCCAGAAATGAAGCTCAATGAAGCTCCCAGGACACACCCCTGTGCCATCTCCTTCGGGCCTCCTCACTGGCAAGGGAAAGCTACTGATAGATTGCCCCAACACCTTCTCTCTGCTCAACCAAGCAGGTCCTCTCCAGCTCCCAACCACCTTGGGAAAAGGGGATATGCACCTCCCTGGCCCTGATGGTTCAGCCCCTTACAGGAGGCAACACAAAGTATAAGATATTGTCAGTCTGCTGAACTTCTGTTTATCGTTTGCAACTGAGCAATACTAAATATGGCTTAATACATAAATAATCCCATCCTTAATATTTTTGCCATGTTTACTTTCTACATCCTACTCTATTTTCAGCAGTTTCATCTGTATCTGCTTTCCTTTTCTTTAGCACTCATTTTTAAGTGACAAGTCTTAATTCACTCTTTAGGTCCACCTTTTTTACTATTTACATTTCAGGGACTTGAAATAAAACTTAAGTGGTGTGTAAGGAGGAAGCACTATACTTTGCAGGGCCATTGCATGAAGCTTTTTTCTTTGATATACTACATTTTATACTTTTGTGACAAAAAGCAGGGTTAGAAATCCCACCTTCTCACCCATGATAACTTGCAATGAATAATCAATGGAAATACATTTACTTTAATACTCCAGATTCACGCCATGCCTATAGCAACTAAATTATCTGAAATATATAAATTATTTCGTTGACCCTCTTTCTGCCCATTTTTCTACACAAACAAGAATGAAACTACTGTACTTCTTGTCGTTCCCCAGATCCCTAACTTTTGAACTTGCTCATTCCAAACAACAGGGACAAAGGAATAGAAATCTCAAAAACAAAGCCAAAAAGTTTAGCAAAGTTGGTAACTAAGGAAAATAAATTAGAGCTACATTAAATGAAACACTGCAGAATTATTTCAACAGTTAATCAGACAGTTGACATGGGAAGAGTGGGAACCAACATGTGTAATTCTCAAGCAATCCAGCATAGGATGTCTCCTTGTCCACTCAGAACTCGAACACACTGAAGTGCAGAGCCAAGGCGTTTGGGTTGCATGGGCCAAGCAGGAGATATTAGAACAACCAGAGATGTCACAGAAGTCAGGTAATACAGTACTGCATAACTGCTAAGGATATAGGAGATGCAAGCTTACTGCAGAATGGAATCAAATGCAGGAGGACACAAGGTCCCATTCAACAGAAATAGGATGGAAATCTGAAGGAAAACTGGCAACATCAGTCCCACTGTTCACTGGAAAACCTCCATTGCCTTTGCAGCCACAATGCTGGGCCTTTGTATCCTGCAATTAACATCCTGTTAAGTCTACAAACCAAATCTTGCAAAGCAAGATTTCAGGTACAGGACTGATAAGACCATTTAAAAATTAAAGATCATACAATCCACCTTGTTATACCAGAACTAGAATCTGCAAACTCATATAAATTAGGAAGGTGAGCAAACCATTTCGTTAAATTAATTTCATCGTCCGTGTAATAACTGTATGTACCAGAGGAATGTTTAATAATTACCACCAGTATTTAAAAATGCACAGTTACTGAGCAGAAAATAATTGAGGGTTCCAAGATAAAAGGTGCTAAGAAGTTGTGTGCATTTTAGAGTTTTGCATCTTACCTCTCAGCAGAGAATGCAGATTCAGTGTCAATGTATATAACAGCCCCATCCAGTCCTCCCATGCTTACAGGCAGCGTAGCCAGAACACTCAACATAATACAAAACTGAGTTTTGCCACAACCTGGTGGGCTAGTTATCTGGAAGGAAAAAGATTAGCAACATAACATTCATTTCACCATAATTCTACTTTTATCTAAGTCCCATCAGTCAGTGTTCTCCCAATTCTGCTCTTCCAGTTACCAAAGGAGACAACAGCCAGAAAAGACAACACAGTCCACAAAGACCAACTTGCAGTTACTCTTGGACCTGTACCTTGCAGACAAATTCTCCTGAAGAATAAAAAAGCTTTTCAGACAGAGCATTATGCTTATACTTTATTTCTTTGGCATCATTATTACCTTTCAAATTTGAGGTCCCCTACTCTCTCCCTTACCTCACAAGACCTTCCCTAGAGACACCCAGCTGTCTTCCATCTGTCCCTGTGCTACCTTCTAAAACAGAGTAGAATTAAAAGAGATTCACAGTTGACATTCACATATCAATAGCTTTTAGAGCTGAAAGTCCAGAGCACAAGGGAGCTCAGACAAACATCACCCTATAAATCATCATTACCTTGGTTAAACCAGGTCTCTCCTAGAAATCACAAGGATAATTGCTTATACCTATAAAGACTGAATGTTCAATATGAACCACATGTATACATAAGACAGATTTTATCTGCCCCAGAGATTACACTCTGCACTATTCAGTGTTTTTTCACTGGTGTTAACTCCCTATTACCATATTTCAACACCAATACCATTCAATGATCCAGACCAGTTCCCCAGTTCTAAGCTTCCACCTGTGCTCACTGAAAGCCCCTGCAGTGAGGCAGCATTCAAACAGAGCATACTCAGCTTGTATGAAAAGGTTCCAGTATGATTTTGAAGAGAAAAATCAACAGGATCCTGAGAACACATTGTTTGATGAGATCACCAGTTTCTGAAAGGTGTATTTTTCTACTAGAGATGGCAGATGTTCTTTACTCACTGCAAATCTTCCTGAGATTGTGTCTGAATGCTGGGCTCTGTGTTCAGATAACTGCAAGTTCATTACTGCTACAGTGAGTCTTTAAGGACAATATCACAATATCATGTTGTCACTGCTTCTGGAAACGGAGATGATGAAACCCATAAATACCAGGAGGGCCAAAACACAGTAAAAACAAAGTCAAAGTGGTTTTAGGCAGTGGAAACAGAGTGATGGGTTCATTCTCATGCTAGAAGCAAGCCTCTCCAGGGAAGTTGAGCTGTAAAGCAAAGCATGCTGTCTGAAAACACTTCGTACTGCCAGAACAAAGGCCAAAACACAGAGCTATTGTTTTAAATTTAAAAATAAACTGTACAACAGACAGACACTCAAAATCAAACTGATTTTTGAGACTACATGTACAATAGTTTGGTTTCAAGCAGAAACATTTTCACCACAAGATTACAGTATTGCTATGGTTTTGTTTTAAGAAGTAGCAGCATAACTTGAAGCACAGAAAATTTACAGGGAAACACTGAAGGATCACATTAGCTACAGTTAACAGTTAGTAAAAATCCCTTTAATCACCTTTGTCTTTAAAGGCCTGAAAGCTATATCAATCAATGTGCTCGAGGCTTTAATGCAAGAGAAGCATTAAATGATTTTTGTTTAAAAGCACACACTGCATTTAGTGAATTACAGATGAGGAATCAGTCATATTTATGCAATTACCTGTTCCCCAGCCAGTATACTTAGATTACAAACTATCATATCAGCAATATCTGATGCAATTTAAAATTAACCCAAAGCACATATAAAAAGTGCAGAGGCAATACACATTCCTTAGTCTGTGATAGCCAATGAATCTCACCAGTGGTTTCTTGTTAAAAAGAAGACTTGAAATGAATGAGGGGAGGGCATCAATCCAGTTTATTAAATGAAGATGTCTGGACAGCTGTCAGGATACTTCAAAAAACACTTGTAGTTTCAGCCTTGCCCAAGAGGTGCATGGGAACCAACATGCATTTCAGTGGCTGACACCAGAGCCAATTCAGCAAAGATGCTATTAAAGTGTCCAAGGATATGAGCATCATATCACAAAGTGAGGGAACCTTGCAGCACAAGGAAGCAAGCCAATGGAGCAAGAAAGCATTTCTATTCCCAAAAACAACAATATTTCATGTTTAATCTTCATTCCTTTAAAGGGCCTAATCAGGCTTTTAAATAATCCAGTGAACAATTTTACAAAACTACAACATTTTGTTGTTACCATTGGTTCAGCAAGTGTTTAGAACGACAGAACCCTACTTGAAATTCTTCTAATAAGTTTAAGTTGAAAGTCCACAAAAAATTTGTTTGGTTTATTTCACTCTAAAAAACAAAAGTCACCCAGATAGAAATGTGAAAACCACAACACTTTTTTAAAGTATATTTTATTAGGCAGAGATAAATTATTTTTCAATAAGTTACATACTATTTTCTCTGGCACATCTGTAGGGTTTGGATGAAATCACAAGGAGCTAATTCTTCATCTACCAGAAGATTAAACTCTTCAATATTCAAAGAAGGAACTATTTTAATTTTTCCTCATAAAACTTGGCCAAAAGCTCTGACCACAGAATTTTAGCTATGATTTAGTCTCCAGTTTAAAACCTAATAGTGGCTTGGGAAACAAAAAAAAAAAAAGGGTCTGAGACAGTGTAATGCAAATCAAATCCCTCTGGTGCTCAAAAAGCAATGACTTGGCTGGAGAAGATACCACCACAAGTCCTAATCCTTCTGATCAGGTACTCAAATTCCAAGTTTCCAGACACCCTCATTGCTGGGTAAAGTAACAGAAAGAAGATTATTTAGCCCCACCAGTCAGGAAGTAAATACTGCACCCAGCATAATTTAGAAGAGAACTTCTCTCAGACTTAAAAGTTTGTCTTATTCAAAAATGCCAAAAAGTCAGTCTGCTTGTCAGCTATGCTCCAGTGATCACAAAAAAAGCAAATTAAGATTGATAAACCCCAAAATCACTCAAATTCAAATAAAAAAAAAAACCTGAAAGTGTTCACAAGCTGCAGTAGAGCATAAAAGTAGCAGAAGCACAGCATCAAACCAGCAGCAGCAGCAAATTGCTAGCTTTCTACTAAAATTTCATCTAGCAATCCTGACGAACACAGAGTGCTGCCAACCTTTTAAACTACTTCGGATCTCAAGACTCTTGCAAAAATGCTTTTTAAAATCCCTAGAACCAGACTTTAGAACAAAAGAAAATCAGTTTCTATATTAATGGCTATCTGCCTTGTCATTTGCTGAAAAACTTGTAATAGGTGCCCTAATTGCTTTCCACACTTAGTACCTAATGGGCAAATAAACAATAGACTATTTTATTTTTTCTTGGATACATGTAATCTTTTGAGTTATTCATCACATTTCTGGATCTTACCTAGTTATCTCTATATTACTTCTGACTAAATAGTTATGTACCAATCATGAGCCAAGCTCAAGGTGCAGGTGGAAGGATGCAGTGCTTGCAGTTTGGTCTCATCCACTACATGTCTTGTACAGATGTCAACATCTCCCTCCCATGGTAGAGAACTGCACCAGGCAGATCTTCTCATTTTAACCAAAATATTTTCGAATACAAAAATATTCACATTCAAAAGGTTTTTTTTTTCCAGAAGAAAACTTAAAAGTGCAATATTTCCTTTCATGTGCTTTTCATTTACATTCAGATAAAAGTTTTGCATATCTTTGAATATATTCATTTCCCCTCCAATTAACTTTAAATACAATGATTCATAGGGACTATGACGATTCTTAAAATACAGCTAATCAACAGTTACTCATGTTTTCTTACATTTAAAGGCTAAACATTCTAAGAAAACACTGGGGGAATATTAAACTTGAGTATTGTGATAATTAAGCAGGCTAAGAAGTGCACAAAATACACAGCTCTGGAAAATTAAACACTTAGATTTACTTCCTGCAGACCATTATTTTATATCACCTAAGGAAAATTGTATTTGACATCCATACTTTGAGATCAATTGCTTGCAGAGTTTGCTTTTAAATAAAGTTTAAGACTTATGTTGATTTTGTTTTAAAGGTCATCTAAACTCCCCTAAAACTCCCTGCATGTTAACCATTGCTTTTCCCCAGATCTCCCTCTGGAGCAATGCCAAGAACATGGCAATCAGCAAGCCGGAATTCTATTTCTGCTCTAGAGCCATTCTGCCTGGTCTTCAGGCAAGAACACAGACAGACTGCACTGAATGCTGAATAACAGCTCCATTTAGGATTAAGAACAAAGAAATGTTAATGGCACTGTTATCAGCAGCCTTGTAAACTAACCATGTAGCTCTTAGGACCCAAAAGGATCACATCCACTTGGTTTTTTTTAAGCAGAAGAAAATTAAAAAATCCAATATTTGGGCACCCTCCTGAGCCAGTGACAAGCTCAAGGACAAATCATCCTATCATGGAAAAGACATTTCTATCCTACTTCTTCCTCCTGCCTCTGCAGCAGTATTCCTACTATATAGGAACAGCCCTTTCTTAAAGAAACAGAATTTAGCAAGTTGTTTCTCCCAGAATTCAAAGACTTGCAGTATTCACATTAAGTTCTTCTGAGCTAAATTTTTAAAGTAAATCAGCAACCAAGCTAAGCCTAGATATGAAGAAAATCAATCTGTCAGAATGAATGTCTAAGTTCATGGATACATTCTTAAACAATTTTATAGTGACCTGCATGGTGTATATTCCATTGTCTATAAAAAGAAATACTCTGAATCTTTAAATACTAATAGCCCCTCATTATATAAGAGATCCTAGAGCAGAAACTGTTTAGTCTCAACTCAATGTTGCTTGAACTCTAGTATGTTTTAAATCACTGTTAGATTTTGTAAGTTGTTTCTATCAGAGTTCAAAATCAATCCAGCTTGATTATAGGGTGCAAAAACTATATATTTTCTTCATAGTAATATTTTCCTTACTTCTCATTTTTATTCCTCTACTGTGACAATTTGCCATAGTAGACAAAGAAAAGCACTTGGCAAAGACTGTTCTCATCCAAAACTTTTTGTGCATTTTGTGTTTGAAGCACCTGACACAAGACAGTCCAACCTATATGAGCCTTTAGTTGAGCATTCTACCTAGATATCAAAAGTAAAACATATTAAACAAGTTACCTCTGTGAGGGATCCACAAGGCACACCACCATGCAGGACTCTATCCAAACTATGAAGTCTGGTGGATAAAAAGGCTGAAGAAGGATTGACAGACTTCCTTAATTTCATTTCATAAGCCTACAAAAGGAGGAGAAAAACAGCAAAGCAAAACAAGAAAATCAGAAAATGCCTTTTTAAATGGAAATAGCAAAGTTGCATTTGCTTTCAGCAGCATGGTATGACTCAACACTCGGTGAGAGAGGTACTGTCATATTCAGCTATAGTCTCCCCTTAGGTCATCACCCTTCCTTGTATTTATATCCCATTTATAGCTCACAATAAATTTAAGTCTTTTTTCTCTCCCTCACCACAATATTAAATAATAAGCCCTTAATCATGATGTAACAAAAGTTGTCTCTGCTCCTATTCAACAAGGTTTGTTTTCAACCTGTGAAACTCCCTGATCAATGTTCATTACCAATTTGCTAGCTTTACTGCATTCAGTAAAAGTCATACTAATCGGTCTATTACTAACTTTATTGCAGCATATTAGTGAATTTAAAGTTTCACAGAATTAATGCTATAATTACTATGCCAGTTACACAGAATAAACTTGGACATGGATTATTTTGGTAAGGAATAAAAAGGGGTTTGCATTGATTGAGGTCAGAACTGTCTGTATCCTCTCTGTTCTAAAAGATATCTTTTCATATGAATTCAAAAAAGAAAAGAAAATGCTGCCACTGCATTGCAACTAACATGTTTCCTTCTTGCACCCAGCTAGGCAACTGTAGCCTAAGGCACACTACAACTCATTTCCATGGATGGAAAAGTCCTCAAGAAATTATTTTCAGGATCACTTCAATTCTTGGCATTGCTTTTATATCTAAACCAAATTTATACCAAAATTCTTATTATTTGCTTGTAGTAAATAAAATTTTTATTTTCTTAGCTGCAGGATACAAACCAGAAGCAATTTTTACATGCTGGACTGGCAGAAAGCATGACTTATTTCCCTGCTGTACTCAGAACTGATGCTGCAAGCCTGAGCAATCTCATGGGGCTACAATACCTAATAAATGCAAGTGCATCAGAGACCTACATTTAAAAATAAAAACATTATGTCATTGTGCAGTGAAACAGACACCACAAGCCTCCAAGCTAAAAAGAGGAGCAACAATGTTCAGCTTTTTCCCAGATATTGTATCAAAAACAGTATCAACACAAGCACACTTACCGTCTGCATTTTGGGAGCACAAGCTCGGCTGACTTTACAAAGAAGCTTCTGCACCTCATAGTAGCTCCGTCCTGTCACTTTCATTAGCTCCAAGAGGGAAAGGCATAAGAAGTCCTGAAAGATGACAGAGCAATTCAGAGAGCTCAACCTGGAAATCCAGGCTGGGGACTAAACTGATGCAATCTGTCCAAAATTAGTAAATATTCCAGAGGTTAGCAACTCTCCCTCTAGATACTTTTACACATTGATGACGTCTCCTCTCAGTTTTCTCCTCTTGAGGCTGACCAGGCCCAGCTCCCTCAGCCTTTCCTCAAGAGAGATGCTTCAATCCCCTCATCTTCATAACCCTCCACTGGACCCTCTCCAGGAGCTTCCTGTCCCTCTTGTCCTGAGGAGCACAGACCTGGACACAGCACTCCAGGTGAGGCCTCACCAGGGCTGAGCAGAGGGGCAGGATCAGCTCCCTGGACCTGCTGGCAGTGCTCTTCCTGATGCAGCTCAGGATCCCATTGTCCTTCTTGGCCACAAGGGCACTGCTGGCTCATGGACAGTTTGGTGTCCACCAGAACTGCCAGTCCTTCCCTGCAGAGCTGCTTCTGTGACATCCCTACCTCCACAGGGACAGTAAGTAGAGAGTAAGCACATAAAAGCTTAAATGTTTTAGTTAGGCATCTGTCATTTTAAAGCTCTGTTTTTATGAGGCAGCAGGCCAGATAGAGTCTGAAATGCTCCCTAACTTAATATAAAGCTACCTGTTTAATTAAACTGCCAAAAACTAAACTCAACATGTATTAAAACACAGTCACATATCCACACACGAAAACAAGAACAAAACAAAATAAACAAAAAAACAAACCCACATTTAAAAAAAAAGACAACTAAACCACCCCCCACAAACAAAATAATTCTTTCACCTGACAGGTAGTGATCTGATAGCGACTCAGCCTTGCACACATTTCCTGAGACAACTGTGCTCTTCTTAGTTTCTTAGCAGCCATGCTTCCCAATCTACAAAAAGACAAAAAAAAAGTCTGAAAGATTATTTTAATATGACTATGCAGACAATTTCATTAACTCCTTGCTAAAGAACAGGGAGGCATGCACATATACATGATGCAACGTGATATAGATTTCCCATATAGATCTGTCACATAAAATTATATTACCAGTCTGAATGCGGTTTTGTTAAATTATATGTGATATTTGACCATGTATGAGAACATACCAGTAAGAACAGAAGTACCAGCAATGTCTATAAGACAGATGTTTCTAGGACATAAGAAAGCTAGAAATTATACATCCAGGAGCTGACAAAGAACTCCTCCTGCTATATTGCACTGGCAAGAAATAATTATCTTTGGATGCCTGAACATGAATTGCAGAGCAATCACAGTAAGCATTCAACCCTAGAATACACACTGCGAGAACACAACACTCAGTTTTGGTGACCCATTGACGCTGAATTCCCAAAACGCCACAGGATGCTGTCCAGCCCAGCACAATCAAAAACATACACACGGATGCTTGACCATGTCACTGTTTCACACATATTATTAAGGCATATATTTTATATAATGATATATACTATTATACAAGGTTCCTAGTATCAATTCACGCAGATATTTAGGCAAAACAGATGTTTTTATAACGTAGTAAGTGCAACTATCGCAAGCGTTTGACATAACACAAAACTGCTACAACTTTGCAGACGCACAGGCCTCCACTTCTTCACAAGACGGAAACTTTATTGCCCCCTCTACAAAATTCTCCTTAAGCAGGAAGAAACCCTAAAGTTTCAAGGTGCCTCCGCCGCCCGCTGCAACACACACGTGGAGGCGCCTGCAGCCGGAGACCCAGCCGGGTCCCGTCTCGAAAGGCGCGGGCACCGCAAAGCTCGCTCCTGCCGCAAAGCAGCCTCACCCCGCGGCTGGGGGGGCTCCTGCCGCAAAGCGGCCGCGCCGCGGGGCATGCTGGGGGCTGTAGTTCGCGGGAGGGCGCGCCTGTGATGGCGGCGGCGCTGCCCGGGGTGATGCCCGCCCGTCCCCGCTCAGTCAGGGGACTGGTCTCCTTTGCGGAGACTGCGGGCCCGGGGGAGCGTTCAGTGTGCCTTCTGCCCGTGAACGTGAGCGCCCCCTCGGAGGAGGGAGCCCTGCACGGCGCTCTTGTGCTGTAATGTAGAAATTCCTTCCGTCCTCTGCACAAAGACGTCTACAAAACCCGAAAGTCTCTAGCATGGAGAGTGACATGCACGTGGTCAGTTGTTAGTAAAGAACATTGGAATTATGTCCTTTTCATATTTAGGCCTCCCAGACACCTGGTCTGCTGCCAGCTGTGAGAGAAATGCCCCACAAAATGAATCACTGAATCAATTAGGCTGGAAAAGAGCTCTGGGTTCATCGAGTCCAACTTATGTTATGACCGAACACCACCTTGTCACACCCTAGCTCTAAGTATCACATCCAGTATCTCCTTAGACAACTGCAGGGACAGTAACTCCACCTCCTCCCTGGGCGGCGCATTACAATAGCCACTCTTTCTGTGAGGAAATTCCTCCTAACATCCAGGCTAAACCTCTCCTCATGCAGTTTAACTCTATGTCTGTCGTAATTATGTCAAGACAGACACGACTGGCACCATCGCCAGTCCTTTATTAAAAACGTCTCATGCCTTCTCTCAAGCAACTCTGACTCCTTTCCCCTCAGGCAGCTCCACACAACACTGACTCCTTCTCTCCTCTCTGCAAGTTTCCTTCTCCAAACTTCTGCATGACCAGCTAAACCCCAACCTGTCCCTCACACAGCACCTTCTTACCTTATCTGTCCCTTCTCACAGCACAGCCAGCACACTCCATCCCAAACTGCAGCAGACTCTAGTTCTCAAACTCCAACTGCAAACTTTTTTTGCCCGACTGCCCCACTCTTTTATAACCTCATGCTCATAGGGCAGGCAAGGCTGTGTCCACTTCTCAGCAATCAGTGCAGCTATAATTCATTGAAGAAAATTGCCTTCTGCACTATCCTTACAAGCCACATATGTCTTCCTGTTGGTTATCGGGGAGAGGAGTCCTCACCTCACCTGGCTACAGCCTCTCTTCACACAGCTGTGGAGAATGATAAGCCTCAGAGCCTCCTTTGTGCCAGGCTAAACAACCCCAGCTCCCTCAGCTGCTCCTCATTGAACTCCAGAACTTTCACCGGCTTTCCTGCCTTCTCTGGACACCCTCCAGTACCCCAGTGTACTACCTGAATTGAGGGCTTCAGAACTGGGTCCAGTACTCGAGATGTGGTTTCACCAATGCCAAATTCAGGAGAAGAATAATTTCACTAGTTCTGCTGGCCACACTATTCCTGATACAGGGAATTTCAGAATGTAACAGGGAGAAGTGGTCATCAAACATGACTGGCATGAATGTCTATGGGGTGAGTTTTCCAACTCACTCTAGGTTTTACTAGGAAGCATTAAACTTAGTATTGTGTATAAGTTATCTGCGTAATCATTGTAGTATTAAAAAATAACCCAACTGAAGAAAAAATGGGCCAAACTAATTGGACACCTAACTGAGAAACCGTGCATTGGGAACTGCATGGCTGGGCTTTTGTCTATTCTGAAAAACAAAACAAATGCCACAATGAAGCTGCAAACTACAGAAAACTTCAGCCACTCTTCCCAATGAGTGAACAGCAGAAGCAGCAAGAAGCTATCATAAAATGCACAACAACTTTTGTGTCAAAAAGGGTCAGGGAATTAATGTTTCTTTCATACGTTGAAGAGAACTTGCATGCTCAAAAAAGTCCAGAAGATTTAAGAAGCTGGGCAGGGTGTAAACAGCCCATACAAAAGCAACTCAGAGCTGTAGTGAAAAGGTAGCTGAACAGGGAGAAATGGCATGGAGGAAGAGCTCCTCCTAGTGTAGTCGGCCTTTAAAAGTTGACTTGAAAAATGTGAATCACATTTGAGAAAAGCTGTCTAAGGAAAGGGAAAAGAAGTCTGTTGCTGCAGTTTAGTTTCAATGTAAAAAGGAGGACATGACCATAGTATAACTTGTCATTAACTACTGTCTCCTCCTCAGTATAGAGGTAGCAGAAGCCTTACCTTCCCACCAGAGGAAAGGGAACATTGCCTTGATGACTTTTCTTTCCTCCCACAAATGCATCAGGGCTTTCCCTTCACCTCTAGGCCAACAGACTTCCTTTCTACTTTCTACACAAACAAAATACCTGTATTAAACCAGAGAACTGTTTTGGGACATTGAGCAAGGGAAGAAAATCTTACCAGCTAAGTACTTCAGAAAATCTGTGAGCACAATCAATATAGCCGGGTACCTCTCCTGCAAGTTCTTTGAATCTCATTTCTCAGGGGTCTCATGACTGTTCCCCAGTCTGCTTCTCAGATATGCAGATACACCTTTAAACCTACTGTCAAATAATTGTGCATCATCTTCTCCGTGTAACTTGAGGGAGAGAACATTCAGAGGATAATGAAAGATGTGTTCACATATGGTTGGTCACTGTCAATGTTCTTCAAGCAGCAACACAGCAGGCAGCATCACAGCTTCCATATGTTTGACTACGACAGTAATCACTAGGGAATCGGGGCACTCTGCAAACAGCTCTGCTCTGTGACCTTGGTCAAGCCCCTTGACAACAGGGTATCTGTTTTCCATCTTGGCTTTGTTTTTGCCTAGTTAGTCTGCAAACAGAGGAAGGAAGTAGTGCCGGTCCAACAGACTCATGTGTCGGGCATGATACAGCAGAGAACTGTGCTAGTCTAAGCCTTTTGCTGCTTCTGGAACTGATAATAAGAAAGGATAAAGCTAAGAGATGATTACTTTATAAGAACTTAGTTTCACCACATTAACATAAGAAGGTCATTTAAAATGGCAACACTGGAGGAAGAGTCACAGAAAGGCAGAAGTATAACAGCCACAACAAACAAAGTCTGACAAAATCAAAAGGATCTAACATCAAGCACACCAATTAAAATAAAAAAGGGAATGGTGATTAGCTGTCTAAGGGGCAAGAAGAAAGGGATAGGGTCTGATTTGAAGGACATGATGAAATACTTATCAGCTCTTACCCAAATAAATACTCAGTAGTTAATAATTCTGCAAATCCCTAGAATTCAAAAGATAATGGCAAAAATGTTTCCTTTCTGGAACAGATTCCATAGAAAAGTTTCTTCCTCAAACGCAAGACAGCCTTTTGTGAGCATTTTCAGATAATAGTTTGCATTCTGGAACATTTCAGATGATTCACATAATTACTTACGCAGTGTCAGCTCACTGATACTGACTGCAATCCTCAGGTTTATTACTATTTTGCAACTGTCAATTCTTGCCTTAAAATTGGCAGCGTTCTCCTACTCCTATGAAAATGTCTCCCCAAAAGAGTCTGCTCCAGGAGACTACAACAATTCTGACTCATGAGAGTAATTCAGATATTCAGAGCAATTCCCCACCCTATGCTTACTGACTAGTGTCTAATTAGTCTAATATATTCTTATTCCTTGGGGTTACCTACTTGATGCCTATAACATTCTTTATTAGAAAGAAATGACCCGTGAGCTCTGGAGACTGCAAAACAGTTATAGAACAGCACATGCTTTCCTGGGATTAAGGTCCTAAGGGGTTGCTCAATAACAGTACACAAAGGGACCTCCAATGCATTATTCTGTCTGTGTCAATCTTCCCAGAGGAGTTGGAGATTTAATTCCAATCCTTTGAGGTTTCCCCATCTCACAGAAAAGCAATTCAAAAGACCTCATAAGGAGGTCTGCACCCTGGTTGAAAACACTTTATTTTTCATACTGTCCATACCAGCACAGCTTTAGCAAAGCTACTTCAACTTGAGATTTTGCCAGATGCATCTGCTCCAGGGATGGGGTGAGGGGAAAGGAAAACACCTTTCTGTTGTTTCTAGAAGTTACTCATCACTATTGCCATTGGCTATAATAAACAAATCAATAACAACAGACCTGTGAAAAGGTAACCCGTCTTTTAATTTTGACTT